TATGAAGTCTGTGGGCAAGCATCCACAAGTCCCCTCCTACCCCTGCCCCTGCCAGCACTGTGCCCTGGCAGCTGGCCACTAGGGCAGTGCCAACACACTCCGTGCCCACCGAGACAGGCCCCCGCTGGCCACAGCTCTTGAGTGAGTCCACACCTGCTGTCTAGCCAGCCTCCCCCCCAGCCCACTCTGCTTTCATTTCCAGTTTCTTCTCTCCTTTCATGCCTTCAGACGAACGGTTCTACTATCTACAGTTTTTAAGTCATGGAGAAAATAAAAAGTACCTCAGTTTTATTTTTAAAAGTAGACTTAAGAAATTACCAACAAATAATAACATCAATCCTGAAAAATTTCTGATTATGGATTATTTACAGTTTTTAAGTCATGGAGAAAATAAAAAGTACCTCAGTTTTATTTTTAAAAGTAGACTTTAGAAATTACCAACAAATAATAACATCAATCCTGAAAAATTTCTGATTATGGATTATCCAACAGATGATGTGCAAGTCTTTGAAGAAAAAGAAGATTGCTGGAAACCATGTTGATAGAGTCATCATAAATGAGTCATGTCAATACAAAGCTATTTTCTTTTGATGGCAAAATTATTAGGCTAAGAAGTTACCAGAATGGTACCTTCCTAAGCCATGGTCATTTTTCTGCATTCATGATTAGAATGAAAATGCAGAAAAATACACTTACTTCCTGGATGACTAACAAAGTTGAGAGGGACAAGAGGGACAAGTGAAAGTAAAAGCAGGATTAAAAACACCTTGAAAGTTAGAATACTTGGCCAAAACTAGCAGGAAGTATTTTTGCTGAGATTAATGCCAATCCTGAAATTTAGGTTCAAAAATATTTACAGGAGCGCAAGTAAGAAAAGAAGTAATCCATCAGCAAGCAGCAATTTACCAAGAACTACTAATTTATAATGAACTGAAGCAATAACTTCATACGATGCAAGAATAGCAAGGCTGGAGTTTGGAGGCCTGGACTTGAATTCCGGCTCTCACCCCAGCTGTGGCTGTCCACACTATGATATTTACCTGTGAAAGAAGGGAGACGCCTTGGTCAGAGGGAGTCAAATGGGACACCAACGCCCTTTGCTCAATGCTCATCTCTCAGAATTCTAAATGAGCGTAGAAGGTCACGCGGCTTTCTTAAACCAATGCGAGTTGACTTCATATAAGGAGACAGCTGGAATTTCACTTCATTTTAGTAAGTGTTTAATGAGAACCTATTACATTTACTGAGAAAATGCTGGGAGAGCACAAGTCAAACAAGAGAAAAGCCCAACCTTTCAGAGCGCGTGGTCCAGCAGGCGCAGAGAACAAGACAGGGTGGAAGATGGGGTGCACCCCAGATTGAAAGGAAGGACCAGAAGCCACAGACTGATTGTGTGGTGATGGGGTCGAGGGAGCAGCATAGGATAAGCTCCTCCAGGACAGGCCACTCCACACAATGGGCGGGGGAGGGTCTCCTGGGCAAACTCCTCAGCATGGTCCCAGAAACCCCTAACTCTATTCATACATTAATTATTTTTTTCTCTTCAGGGAGGGATAAAAAATGAGCAGATTTTAATCAGTGTCAACTCTGAAGTGACTTAACTATCTGTTGGAGCTTTTCCAAAGACAAACTTCATGTACTACAACAAATGTAATTTGCAATGTCGCTAAATGCCCAGAAAGAATCTCTCTTTCCAAAAATTGCCCCAGGCAGCTGTTAATCATACAACAGACAGAACCCACAGGACTGGCCTCAAATGAGAGAAGGAAATCTGACTAGATTCACCATACTCTCATTTCTGCTCAAGAGAAATAAGGAAAAGTCTCAGAATATCTTTCCATTAGAAGGAACCTCCTAGAAGAGACCAGAACTCTTCTGAGCACCCCCTCTCCCTTCCTCCTTATGAATCCTGGGGCGGGGAGGGAAAATCCACTGCGGACTGTAGAAAATATTCATCTTCCAAGCAAAAGATCAAGGTCATCCAAATGCTGCTCAATTGGTTAGCACAGAAAATAAAGGGGGCGGCAGTAGACAGAGCCTTCTTTTCACTTTCTCAACGTCTTTGGGCCCTGACTCTTTGACCTCATTGTTAATTCTAAAAGAATAAAAATCTTGGCCCAACACAAAGAGTTGAATTGATGAGTGCCTAAAATACAGGAATACAGCATAAAATGGATAAATGCTTCCCAAGGCGGGTGGAGGGGATGAAAGCCCAGGATAGATGGGCTCCAGCATGCAATAAGCCTCATGAATCTGTGATTGGGGTTTTCATTGGGTGATGCTGATGTGAAGAATGGAGCTCTGTAGCTTGAGAAGAGCTCTGGAAAAGAAAACAGGACCGCATACATGTATCAGCCTGAACTTGCCTCTGGTCCTCTGATACACTGTCCCCAGCTCTGTGGCTGTCATGTAGCCCTTCACACAGCTTGTCATCATTCCAGTCTGACCTCCAGCATCCCCTGCTCAGGGAGGCTTCCTGTGACCACCTGTCCCCATCACTGCCTTATACGTGCTTCACAGAACTTTCCAGCCCCTTAACTTTCACCACTCATCATTTGTTTGCATATGTACTGCGTCATCCCCTACAGAACATCCGCTCCCTTAGAGCAGGGACTTTGAGCAGCTTTTGGAACCATGCCTGACATGCAGGAAGACCTAAGTGAATAAAGGAAGGGATGAAGGAACGTTTTTGCAGTTTTGTCAAAGCCCTAGAACCACTGAAAAGTGTTTCCTGGAGGCCCCCAACACCTTGGACTAAGAATCTTATTTGATGAATTTGCAAACTGATTTAAACTGCAGTAGAGAAGCCCACCAAGAAAGACAAGGAAAAGTACTACAAATAATATGGTGCTTCTGTCAACCTGCCAATCTAGAAAAAACTATAGCCCAAAATGTCACCTCCTAACCAAACATGAATCCCTTACCTAGGATCTGTAGATACGCGTGGGTTCATGGATATCTTTAGGTATCAATGCAAATAGCCTCATTATTTATATGAATTGCAAGAATGCCACTTTTTTTTTAACATCCCTCCCAATTACCTAACTGTCCAGCTATTAGGTGGTCCCATGACTTGCATGCCAAAGGGGTAGAGGAAGATACACAAACTGCAAAAAAGCACTGCAAAACCATGTACACAGCAATATCACCTTATTATACAAGCCTTCTAGAAGCACAGCCCTCTCATGACAGAACGTCAGTGACACCTGGTGGCTGCTTGCTTAACCAGGCAGCAACCACCAAAAATAACTGACACCATACCCAAGAAGTATTATAAGATTTTGAAGCTGAAAGGGACCCCAGAAGTCAGCTAAACTGACTCTCAAGGCTTTCCTAGGCAGCTACTCAGATTAATTCAGCACCATTCCATTCCCCTGTTACAAGTTCCAATAACTAAAGATTTCAAACCAAAGCTAACCACTATTTCTGTATAAGGCAGCATACAAGGTGGGTGGAAGAAATTTCCCCACTGCTCCCCACTCTCTGCACCTCCACCTTCAGCCCCAACATCTTCATGCATATATGGTGTTTAATAAGCTGAATTTCATACTTTTTGGGAAGATAGATAATATGTTTCTTGCTATAAGTAACTTGGTGATACTGTAATTTGAATTTTAGATTCCTAGTTTCTTTTTTTTTTTTTAAAAAAAAAAAAAGATGACCGGTAAGGGGATCTTAACCCTT